TAATTAAGGTGATCACATGGTCTTTGTAAGACATCCCTGATTTCCTAGCCTCACCTTTAGTCTTGTGGACATACTTGATTGTTTTCTAAATTAAAAAAAAAAAATACAAGCGAGGCTGGATTTGCAATAATTTTTACTATTAATTAATAATTTTTACACACACACTAAGGTTTGGCAGAATTCAATTTTTGATTAATTTTGATAGGTGATATCAATGTTTTGTTTAAGCATTTTTCCTTTTCTTTCATTTTTTTAAAATATGCGCAGTAGCAGGAAAATATGATGGTCAAGCAACAAAATGGGTCAATGTTTAATGACAGTACATATTGATTTCAAAAAGTTAAAGCTTTATAATTGCTCAAGCACAAACTGTAAATGTCATGTATCAAAATATAAGAAGTAAATATCATTAAATTTTAATAACTTTTTTCCACATTTTTTTCTTTTTGTCCATATTGTCTTTATATTGGTTTCTTTGTGTATAGTGATATTGACACTTACTGAAATTTACCATATTATTTCCAACCCTACCTATTCCCAGCCTCCCCCCCCCCCCCTTTTACACCAGGACCAACCCCCAGCTTGCCTCATCCCCCACCAGGGCTTTGTGAAGGTGGGACTGAAAAACCTCCCAGGAAGGGGGCTTCCACCACCTTCCCTCCTTCCCCAGGGAACCCCATTCCAGCAGTTAACCTCCCTCCCAAGAACATAGTAAGAGAGCCATACCTGCATGACCACAACCCCAACGGTCAATCTCCCCATGCCGAATTGGTTCCCGACAGAGGTAGCTGTCCAGCGTGGTGAGCTTTCACAGGGCAATGGTGACCCACTTCTGGAGGGGGATGGCGGGTTGCATGTGGGTGTCCCGTTGCCTGAGGGCAGGGGCGAGCCACTCGCATAGCTCCATAAAGATGTCCTTTTGCATGCAGAAGTTCTGGAGCTACTGCTGGTCATTCCACCACTCTATGATAATACTCACCAGTTGGAACTGGTGTCCAGTTGCCAGAAGTGGCGGTGTACAGTGTGCAGGGGAGGGCAGAAGGGGCTGTGCTGCATGAGCAGCACATGGAGAGAGGTGAGGGATGTGCCCCGCAGAGAGCTGTGGGTCCAGATTCTGAAGAGCCATGAGAGCAGCTTGCAAAAACTGCAGTAGGAGGTGCAGCATGAGGTCCAGGAGCTGGCGACTACTTTGCAGCAAGTCCAGCTCCATGGCAGAAGTGCTGTGGTGTCCACAAGGGCAACCAGAGCAGGCAGTAGAATGGGTTTTCTATCCCTCAAGGAGATAGGCAAAAGATAGGAGCCTGAGACATGGCTGTAGTGGGGGGACCCCTTTAAGCACCAGTCTTAGCTAGCCTCAGGAAGCAGCTACAGGAAGTGACCGCTGTCCTCATGTCCTGCCCAAAGTGATTTCAGGTGGCTTTAAATGCGATTGAGGTGCCAATCTGTGTAGACATACTATTTTGAAATAGCGCTACTTTGATTGGCATTTGCTGTGTATGTACTATTTTGAAATAAGCTATTTTGGAGGTTTTTTTTCTGAAATGGCTTTTTCGGAAATAAGCATTCAATGTAGATGTACCCATATGTTTTATTCCCCTTTAGTCAGTTGAAATCAGACGTTTGGAATAAGCTGTGACTAGGTTATATACTGCCTGTTCTACGTACAAGTTGGCATTTACATGAAGGTACTTGCACAAAGAAGCAATATTTCATAATCCACTTGCCTGAAACTGCCACCTTTGTGAATAAAACTCTTGCACAGGAGTTATGGAGACAGTCTGCAAGGAAGAGTTTAAAATTGTGATGATAAATTAGGGTCATGTTATTTTTATTATATTGACCTAAACTTTACACATCCATTATTTACCATTGAAAATACTGACAAATAGTGCATCTTCTACTATTTGTACCATATCCAGACACACCAGCCTGCTCAGCCAATACATTATTTATTTAGTTATCATCCTTGTTATTGAAAATGTGATGTGTATATTATGTTGCTTTTTCCATTGGTACCGTATTTATTCCTGCAGAATTATACAATTTAAATATACATAAATAAAATTAATACTTTCCAAAAAGAAATGAAAAAAGTAATTAGAAATACTAGCTGACTAATTCCCTTTTTGACTATCTTCTTCCAGTTAACTCTCCAGAATTTCTTCACCCTCTTCTATTCTGTCTGGATACTTCTACGCAGCAGTGTTATTTCGGAATACCTGTCGTTATTCTGAAAAAACAAAATGCATGTCTACGCTAAAAGCCTTTATTTTGAAATAATGTCGAGGTGGAGGACTTCTTACTCTGACTTATGGTAACCCTCATTTCACGAGGATTAAGGGAAGTTGGAGGAAGAGTATTCTTTGACTTCCTATGTGTAGACAGTGCCAAAAGACTAAGTTATTTGGACTTCAGCTACGCAACTGATGTAGTTAAAGTTGTGTAGCTTAATTTGACTTTAGCTCTGCTGTGTAGATGTACCCTCTATGTTTTCAGCAAATACTGCAAAGACTGAACTCTGTTGTCTTTACCTCAACACATAGTGTGCCTCTAAGGATGGATTATTTGACCAACTAGTCATTGTGATGTGGTCAACTGAAGGATGCCCAGGGTGATGATTAGAGCTTGGAAAGGCCTGACCCAGACTCAGTGAGAGTCTTTGCATTCACTTTGTGTCAGTTTGGATCAGACTCTTTGTGAGCAAACTCTTCAGTTTAGAAGAGCTGCATTGAAAGTGAATACGTATTTGTGGTCTTGAAAGTACCTTTGAGTGACCCTGATTTTAGTGATAAAGCGGGAGTGGGCCTACATGAAAATAGCAATCTAAAATGAAGGGACCCCAAAATAGGAATTAGAAGACCAATTTGAAGGACCTTTGTATGTTTTTGAGAACCAGATTCACAATTCTGAAATGTTTGCGTTAGATTTCTTTGGCTCTGGTTTCTGGCTGGAATCAGAACTGGAACTGTCAAAATCCCATAAGAGGGGCCGGGTGCTGAGTGTTCTTCATTAGAAGAGGAAGCACAAGAAATTTCATTACTGATATTGAGCAAGAAATTTCTCATGGAAAAAACCTCAAGAGATGCAGCTTGTTTAGATAAAGCTTCAGATAAACAGCACTTCTAAACTAAACCCCAAGCTGTAGCACATAGAGCCGTGGTCACCAACCAGTAGATTGCGATCTACCGGTAGATCTCAGGGGCTCTAAGAGTAGCTCTTGAGCCCTCTCTGAACTGCGCGCCTGCGCAGTACATTTACATTAGATTTCCTCATTTGAGGAGCAGCTACTCACCGAGCAACAACACAGGTGAGTAGCTGCGAGGAATGGTGGGAACTGGGAGGTCGGGAGGGCTGAAACACCTCAGCAAGTTGACTGTGGCTTTCAGCTGAAAGAGGCTGTCCCATGCTCCAGCTGATCGGCGGATTCTCCTCTGTGCCTGCCCATGTGGATCTTGGTGCATCCTGGCTGAGCGCCATGGCCAACTGGCTGGGCAGCCACTTCTCTTCCCTCCAGCCCGGCTGCCCTGCGCTCAGCCCAGGGAGGCTGTGTCTAGCTCCAGCTGTGCTGGAGCAAGCTTCCCAGGCTGAGCGCAAGATCACAGATGCCCATCTGATGGACTGTATACAACTAGCAATCTCAGACTACAACCCAGACTTCAAGACACTGGCAGATACTGTTCAGTCACAGTTGTCACACTGAAGAATAGTGATAGAAATGCCGTGTTATCCCTGAAAGACCCCTGTTATCTTACCCATTACAAAGATAGCTTCCCTAATTATCACCTCTAATACCATTAGCTCACAGACATTTACCCCCTCCCCCCCCGACATCCCCCTTCTGTTCTGAAATTTGATTTGTCCTTTTCATATGTGTTCTCTTTTTTTTAATTGTATCCTTTGGTATATATGGTTGTGACTATTTTCTTCTACTATTTGATCTGAGGAAGTGGGGCTGGCCCACGAAAGCTCATCATCTAATAAACCATCTTGTTAGTCTTTAAAGTGCTACATAGTCCTGTATTTTGTCACACTGAGGGTACGTCTAGACTACAGGCTTTTGTCGACAGTATCTGTCAACAAAACTTCTGTCGACAAAGAGCATCTAGACTACATTCAGTTCTGTCGACAAAGCAAGCTGCTTTGTTGACAAAACCCTGTAGTCTAGACACAACCCTACATGCAATAACACCTTCGGTCGACAGAACTCTGTCGACAAAAGGTGTTATGCCTCGTAAAATGAGGTTTACCAGTGTCGACAAAACTGCTGAGTTCTGTCAATGTTATGTCGACAGAACTCAGAGGTAGTGTAGACGCAGGTATAGTTTTGTCGACAAAACTCTGTAGTCTAGACACACCCCGAGACTTTTGTCGACAAAACTCTGTAGTCTAGACACACCCCGAGACTTTGTTATTGGAAGAAAAAATATATAATTATCAATACTTGATATTAGATTTACAAAGTAGCAGAGAACAAAATGTATAATTGTAAATGCTTCATTTGACATTTAAATAGCATGAATTAAAAACAGACCATTTATTTCATAACTATAAACATGTGATGTTAATTTTATATAATGCATAATTTAAAAATAAACTGTTTAATAGAGTGTATAAGGGCTGGGGATAGCAAGTGATGGACAGGAGAATAGAGGGGGGCGGGGCTTCAAGGAAGGGACGGGGCGGGAGATCTTCGCCTGTTCTGAGACTTAAAAAGTGATCTTGGGTGTAAAAAGGTTGGAGACCACTGACATAGACTGTAGTGAGTGAGGTTATATGAATTCTTCAGCTACAATGCTAGTCTATATGACATGCAAACAGTTGTTGATCCAGATCCTCAGCTGGTGGAATTTGTGGTGACTCGATTAAATTCAATAGTGCTGTGCTGATTTACACAACCTGTCAGTCCAGCGCTTTGTGTTTTAGTAGCAGCTCTCAAGTATTTCATGATTCTTCCCTATGTTGATTTTGATGGCTGAAGCTTCCATTCTTGTTTATTCTAGGAAATTTACCAGTGGTGTGGCTCAACATGCAATAAATATGAGCGTCTCAAGGCTACTCAGGTTGCTATTGGCATTCGAGACAATGAGAGGAATGGAAGATCTCAGCTATTTGTTATAGATGAAGGAAGTGAACCAAGACAACTTACAAAGGTATGGTAAATGCATTGCTAGTTCAAATATACTGTTCACCAGACTCCTGGGCATGTCCTGCCACCATGCTACTATGGCGCAGGATATGTCATCAGCTCTCCTAATAATCTAAGTAGTTCCGGACCCAGTCTTTACATAGAGCGACTTCATTGTTCTGCCGTAAGAGTGCTGTATACACAACAGCTGCTAGCTGCTCTTCCCCCTGAGTCAGGACTGAGCTAGTGCTCCTGTACAGTGCTGTGAGATGATTACTTCTTTTAAGCGCTGTCTTTCATGGGCCTTTTGGGCAAAGTGAGAATGTTGGCGCTTGTGCCCTGAACAAATCCCAGGTGAGCAATTACATTCTACAAGCACAAATTCACCCAGCAATTTTCCTAGCAAGCCTGTTCGTTTCCTCTCCTAAATAAACAATAATTCTACAGGTATTGGTCCTTTGTTCTTTCAAGTCAATAGAAGTCTCCCTCAATGATGCTGGATCAGAGCTACATAGAGTTGTGAGGAAGTGGATGGAGGGGAGAGATGGATGACGGAAGTGCCCTGAAAACTGGGGAGTGAGCTTGTGAAGGCAACGTAACAAATTGAAGGAGCTGGGAGGAAGACAAAGGTCCTTGGTCATTGTTTTGGGACATTACAGCTACTAGAAACCGCTTTGTACTATAGAGCTAGCCCATGGGGATTTGAGCACATTCACTTCTATTATATATGGCAACATTTTTCTTCCTATACAGAGATATTTAAAATAACACAGACTTTGGATACAGTCATATGAACAAAGCATGTCAGCTGAGTCAGGCCTTGTCTACATTATGTGAACTGTACTGGCATAGCTACAGTATGCCATTCTAGCATGGACCATAATAAATGAAGAATACACCAGTGGTTGGCCTGTCAGTGTAGGAACACCTCCCTGAATGACACTAGCTTGCTTAATGGATGCATTATTTTGTTGACCAAGCTGGGTTTACACTGAGAATTAGGTCAGCATAGTTATGGGACTCTGGAGTTTAGATTTTTCATACTTCTTAATTTTTTAAGTATAAGCCAGGCCTCAATATGGAATAAATTTTATTACATGCACTGAGGCATGTGCAGATGTGTACCACCAGTGGGGAAACATGCTGCTGGCTGTGGGCACTCTGGGTACTCTGCTGGGCAGCACCTGAATCTCTCCTGGGCAGCTGCCCAAATGCTCAGCTTACAGGGAATACTATTGTCAGTGGAAGGGGCTCTCTAATTAGTGTAGATGGTAGCGCAGTCAATGGAAGAACTTGATCTAGCATGGTCTATAGTGGGAGACGGGGGAGGTAGGTTGGATTAACTACATTGCTCCTAAGTCTTTTCCATTTAAGCACCGAAAGTGCTTGCCATTATAGGCTGGATCCATATTCCAGCAGAGTTTTCACAGAATTATGCATTCCTGAGCATCACAACAGGATGGGTATGTGGCACTTCATCAGGGTCCTCCAAAGCCTTAATGATGAATGAATGTAATTTTTCATTTATAATACAAACTACGTATTGAGACCTAAGCTAGCTGAAAATGGGGTGTGTGATTAGGGTGGGGAGTGAGGGGACTGCTTAGAAGGTGAGAACCCTTTAAAATAAATGTAGTCAATTTCAACGATGTCTAAAGTAGATTTAAAAATAGGGTGAAAATAGACTTGTAATTTTTCCTTCTGAAAAGTAGTCCCCCACCCCCTTGTGTGTCTCTGTATTCTGAATCATTAGTAGTTAAAAAATGTGATCTGGTTACAGTTCATAGCCTAACCTAACATACTTCATATTTATTATTTCTAAACCAATTTTCCCATTTGGTCTTTTTTTTTTTTTAATGGGAAAGGAGCAAAAAGTTTAACATAAAATAATTCTTCAGCAAACTGGAACCGGCACATTTAATTTCTGGTTCAGATTGTGTTCTCCCCAGGGTCATCTGCATGAAGCAATACTAATAGAGTGTGCCTGAAGACACTGTTTTTGTTGCATCACTGTTTTGTCATTCTTATTGTAAGTAACAGCTGCCACAGTGCAGACAGGTTCTATGCCTTTCACCCCTGAGGCAAATTAGGCATACTGACTCCTTTGCATGATTCATTAGTGCTGTAGTAAAATTCTTATCCTTGATTAACTCTGTGTTTGTTTGCCTCTGCACTTTTTACAAAGTGAAAGCCTTTTGTATTTAAGGCCAGCTTTTCGCTACAGAATCACTTTGGTACAACAATGTCTTTCAGGGTTGTGGACAGCAACATAGTTATACCAGCCTGAGTGCTGGGGTAGAGAAGTGCTATCTTGGTGGGAAAGCTTCTCCCAGAGTGCATCTACCCTGTACCTTTACCTCGAAATAAGCTACTCAAATTGCGTAGCTTATTTCAAGGTAATTTTGAAATTTGGCGCTGTCTACACAGTGCCAAATTTCTAAATAAAGCGCTATTCCGACAAGTCCCTTAACCCTTGCAGAACGTGCGCCACAGGGATGCCGGAATAGTGCACCTGTTATTTTGGAATATATTTTGAAATAATTGGCGTGTTTAAAGACACAGTATAGATATTTTAGGATACTTCCGGTATCCCAAAATAGCTCCTCTGTCTAGATGTAGCCCCACTTGCAAATGTGGATTAACTATCCTGAGGGGCTAGCTGTCTTCCATTGGCATAGAGCATCTTCACTAAAGAGCTATACCAGTGGAGCTGCATCCGTGCAGCTGTGCTGATGCAGCATTTTAAACATAGACCTGCCCTAAGTAGCCACCGGTGTTCCATTCCTAAGCGATATCCCACATCTGATATCAAAGTGAATTATTTTAGGGGCATGTTTTGGTTTTGTTTTAAATCTCAACTCCAAAAGGAAGCAGATGAAATCCACAGGTTGTGTGGGTGGCAGAGATGTTACAGGCTAGGACCTGGCTCTCTTCACAAGGCCCTTGTTCAGCTGTGCAGTGCTTTTAACTCATGTAAAGTTCTTGAATTAAAAGGACAGGGAAAATGCCAACATTATATTTTGATTTCCTTGTCTTGGAATATATTAGTAATAATGATTTTTATTATTTGCCCAGCAACAATGGAGGGGAAATTTCAGTTTTTCTTTCTTCTTAAGATAAATATAAAGGGCGGGGGGGAGGAGACCATTGGTCAGTCCAGTGAACAGTGATTATGGCTCTGATTGCTCACCACAGTGATGAGTTTTCTCCTGTGATCTGTAATACCAGGGAAGTTGCATGGGGAGTACTTCAGGTGCCAGGGCTGGAGGTGTTGTGTCTCTAAAGAAATATGGGGCTGCAGGGCCTCCATTGTATTCCCAGGCATTGCAAGCTTTAGGGAACTCTACTATATAGCCACTGGGCCATCACTCCT